TATTATTATTATTATTATTATTATTATTATTATTATTATTATTATTATTATTATTATTATTACTTTTTCTATAATTTTTATTGCAATGATTTCTTCACTTTTGTATTTTTAGCTGTAATTATAAAATTTGAATATAGATTTCTTATATATTTACAAATAATAATATTTATTTTTATAAAAAATATATGCTTATTACTTAAAAAAAATCACTTTTGTATTTGTATACATGTTATTATTGGGTATGTTGTTTTGTAATCGGTTGTAAATTATTTAGTGTAAGGTTTTTATTGGTGTATTATTATTATTATTATTATTATTATTATTATTATTATTATTATTATTATTATTATTATTATTATTATTATTATTATTATTATTAGAAAAATGAAAAAATGGAGAAATAGCGAATGAAAATTAAAAAAACTAGAGAAATAGAGAAGGAAAACTGGAGAAATGGAGAAATGGAGAAGGAAAACTGGAAAAATAGAAAAATGGAAAACTGGAAATGGAAAAACAGAAGAATGAAGTAAACGACCCCTAAGTGTTTCATTTTTAAAAATATATCTCGTTAGTTTTAATTTTTCGCCATCACTGAAAAAAATTTCTAAATCCGCCACTGAGCACAGAAATAAAATTTCATAACACAAAATACAAAAACTCACAATTCACATACACATGCACCGGGTCCACGGCATTGTTGGGTCGAAGCTATACTATAAGGATTGAAGTAATATATATATAGTAGCTTCAGCTACGTGGTTGTTAGCTTGATCGATTTAATTTTCATTTTGCTGATGTCTTTAGCTTGTCCTTTGCCACGACATGCATGATGCATGATGTTGTGTGGGTGGTGAAATCCTATTTACGTTGTTTTTGTTTCTTATTGGATGCCAATGATTTCTCCATTAAAAAACACTACAAATATGCTATACATGAGGGAATGAGACAGCGTGCGTGCGTTGGTTACGAATACCTTTCTGGCTAGCTGCTGCATAGCTACAACCACCGCTCCATCATCTACTTAACAGTCATACCATTCTACAATTCAATATATGTATATATATATATATATATATATATATATATATATATATATATATATATGTTCAGGTGCGGTGAGCAGTCCCAAGTGCGGTTGTACAGTTAAAATAAAGCTATTGATTATGCTTAAATCAACGTCCAAGATTATCAAAATTAGAAAGAAAAATGTTGTGGCAATTTGGTAATTTTTGTACCTAGGTCAAATTAAGGTGAGTGATTTTGTGATTAAGGTGCGTGAGTTTTGTGCTTTAAGATGCGTGAGTTTTGTGCTTAAGGTGTGTGGGTTGTGTACTTAATGGTTGTAGTTGTTGAAACTTAAGGTGCGTTAGTTTTGTGCTTAAGGTGCATGGGTTTTGTGCTTAAAGTGCGAGAGTTTTGTGCTTAAGGTGCGTGAGTTTTGTGCTTAAGCTGCGTGAATTTGTGTTTAATATAATGTGAGTAGTTGTTGAAACTTAGGTGCGTAAGTTTCCTTCTTGATATGCGTTGTTTTCATACTTAAGGTGCGTGATTTGTATGCTTAAGGTGCGTCAGTTGTGCGAAACTTAAAGTGAATCATTTTTAAAACCTTAGATGCGTGATTTGTGTTTTTAAGGTGATTTGTTATGTGCTTAAGGTGCGTGGTTTGTGTTCTTAAGATGCATGATTTGTGTTCTTATAATGTTTTGTTTATGTGCTTGATGTGCGTGTGTTGTGTACTTATGCGTCAGTTTAATACTTAATGTGCGTCCAACTACACGGGAAGCCATTCTCGCACCTGATCCCTTCCCTATATCCATTGTTCTGATGAGTCCAGCCCTTTCCATGAGTTCGTGTGGACAGATCTGGACCATTGAATGGTTGAAATCAATGGCCTCCCTAGATTTCACCAACTGTGCAATTGTGCACGGCAATTGTACAACTGTGTACTTCACTTACACAATTCGCGATGCACAATTGGTGAAATCTAAGCCATTATATTATTATTGTTATTGTTATTGTTATTGTTATTGTTATTGTTATTTGTTATTTGTTATTTGTTATTTGTTATTGTTATTGTTATTGTTATTGTTATTGTTATTGTTACTGTTACTGTTACTGTTACTGTTACTATTACTATTACTATTATTATTATTATTATTATTATTATTATTATTATTATTATTATTATTATTATTATTATTATTATTATTATTATTATGTGTTTGTCTGTTTCCCAGCGATACATTTATAGCACATTCCAACTCCATCTATCATCACAACCAACCGCAATAACATCCAATTCATCACATCTAAACAAGCTAAGTACCAAGCTATACTAGCATTTTTTTTTTTTTGGATGAATGTTACTTATTAGGAAATAACTAAGAATTGAATGATCAAATTGATAGAAACTATCAAGTTTGTAGTTAAAATACATATTAGAGTCCATTAGGGTGTGTTTGGTTCATTAGTTTACACACTTAGAATCACTACTGGAAATCATGGAATTTTCGAACACCTGAAAGTGATATGTTGAAAGCAAAAAGTGATCGGAAATAGCAATAAAAGTTTTTTCGGATACCAAAAGTGGTCGGAACAAGGCTTTCTTCTTGATTTAAGATAACTTTTCAGGTGATCAGAAATTTTATAATTTCCAGCAGTGAATCAAAATCATAATATATATATATATATATATATATATATATATATATATATATATATATATATATATATATATATATATATATATATATATATATATATATAGGCGGGTTCAGGTGCGGTAGTGTCTTACGGTGCGGCAACACCAATAGTTCACCAAATATGCACCATCAACGTTAGGAAATACACCACACAAAACAGAGTAAACAGAGCCCTGCATCACCAAACACACACCATTAGGTGTGAGTAAAAACACCATACACTGTTCGGAAATACACCATTGGGGGTGGTGAGTTATATGGTGTGTTTTTTTGAGTCTGTTGTGTATTTTGTGATGTTTTATTACATTTCATTGGGGTGTGTTTTTATTACACTGTTGGTGCATATTGTTAACACTGTTGGTGTATTCTGGAATTTGACCGCACCGCCGCACCGTAAGACCCCGCCGCATATGAGCGCTCTTATATATATATATATATATATATATATATATATATATATATATATATATATATATATATATATATATATATATATATATATATATATATATATATATATATATATATATATAGGGTACATTTGAAGTCCTCCAAGGAGAGCGTTATCTAACCCTTAGGCTAGGAATGTTGCCGGAGTCAGCCCGAAGAGCATCGTTGAGAGTTGAGACCCACTGGAACGGAGTCCAGCATAAGAGTTCCCCAAGCAATGCTTTGCCCGAGATTCGCGAGCCAGTCGGCACATTTATTTCCTTCTCTCATAACATGAGAGATCTTAAACCTGTGAAACTTTCTGCTAAGGTCCAGGCAGTCTTTGATTAAGGCCACCACTGTCTCTTCGCTATGATCATCCCTGTTCATGACGGCCACCGCCGCTGCCGAATTCATCTATGCCCAAACTATATTAAACCCCTCTCTCAGACAGAGTCGTAGACCCTCCCTTAGGCCCCACAACTCCGCCTAAGCTGAGAAACTATCCGTAGTGCCGATTTTCATCGCAAAACCCTTAACCTAGTGCCATGTTCATCACGAACGATGCCACCTGCACTTGCCAACCCTGTGTTAGCCTTCATCGCTCCGTCCGTGTTAAGCTTTACCCATCCCGGTTTGGGATATATATATATATATATATATATATATATATATATATATATATATATATATATAATGAAATTTAATGAATGAAGATTCTACTTTTAAATAAATTTAATACATTCACCGTCGATTATATGCTTCAATAAGAATCAGGGTAGATTACAAACCCTTGATAATAAAATGCCTGCATGTAACCCAATAGGTAAAGCACATTACATATACTACTAAGGATTGGTGACTTACCCATATTTTGGAATTCAATAATAATTTTCGTTACTCGAAAGGGGTGTGTAAAACATGATTCTTGTATGTGATAATGTGAATGATTACAATTAAGTTTGATTATCGTCAACATTTTCTTAGTCTAGCTAGCCCGTTACACATAATCTTCCTAATGTGATTAATTTGTAATCTATTACATAAGAACAATGTTCGGCCTCTAATATATACTTTTTATTGTGAATATCAAAACCATTTATTTGTTGATCCAGAATTCTTATTTAGGTACTTCAATTCATACCATCCATACACAGTGTTTTTAACCTTACTCTAAAAAGTGTATCTCTCTTTGCCAAGATATTCGCTCTATTTGGTAAAATAGTTAGCCTATCAGTCAATTTTGATTTATTTAACGACTAAACAATCAATATGAGTGTTTGATTAATTAGCTAAAATTCAAACACCAGTTGGGGATGAACACAAGAATCGATTTGATTTGCACCCCCTGTGCATGAAAGAGAACATCTATGCTAGCTATACAATTTATGAAGCTTTATAAATGCTCTTGTATAAATAGTGGCGCAAACCCACTTACCAAATCAATGTGGGACAAATGCTACTTTAAAACCTACACGTGAACTGTAACCCATGACCTTTGGCATGACTTTGATACCAAATTGAAGCATGTGTTTTACTCAACTAAAAGTCTAAGCCCATAGTTAAATTGCACATTAATAGTTATGTGCTCAACAATATCAATCTCTTCGTCTCACTACGAAGAATCCGAATCCTCTTTGACTCGATCCAAATTGAGAGTGAACCCACTAATATCTATACCACAAAATACCCACCCTATTTTAAAGCTATTTTTCCAACACGAGATACTTATTCAAACCATCAAGTCATCATGCATAACAATTATTAATTGCCGATTGTGGACGGTTTGCTGAGCCGGGTGAGGCACGTGATTCCTAGCTACCATATAAGTCCATTATAACGTACACTTTAAAATCTTATATAAATACCATGCCCTATACCCTATGACAAACAGAACATACAATTGCAGTTAGTTAACGCCGCTTGTCTGTTAATAACTACATTTAACGTACATCCGTTACTCTGCAATAGCCTAAATTCTCCCACCCAAACAAAACGCCGGCGAAGAAATGGTGACCGTCGAGGAGGTCAGAAAGGCGCAACGCGCCGAGGGTCCGGCGACCATTCTGGCCATCGGAACGGCCACGCCGGCCAACTGCGTCGACCAAAGCACCTACCCCGACTACTATTTTCGTATCACTAATAGCGACCATATGACCGACCTCAAGCAAAAATTTCAGCGCATGTGTAAGAACTTATATATATATATATATATGTGTGTGTGTGTTTTCTTTAATTTTCCTATTATTATATATACTGCTCCCTCGTCACTTTAACTCTTTCGTTTACCTCACATGATACTGTTATCATTATATTGAGTTATTAAATTAAAAAAAAAAACATATAATCTAACTTATCATAATCAATTACTTTGTTTCATATTCAAACTCTCTTTTAATTCTGCTTTTGGTTTTATAGTTAATGATGTTAAAAAAGTTGCCTCCATGATTGATAGGGTAGTTTTCGGTTTTGTTAAGCGATCCGAATCGTGCTATCCATAGTGTTACTAGGGAAGTTGTTTCTATAGCTGATGGCAGGGAGTGCACTACGGAAAATTATGGAATTTCCGATCACAGGAAAGTGATCTTAAATCAAGTTAATACCAAAAAGTGGTCGGAAATAGCAACAAAGGTTTTTCCGGATACCAAAAGTGGTCGGAACAAGGCTTTTGACTTGATTTAAGATCACATTCAAATGGTCAAAAATTTCATAATTTCCAGTAGTGATGGTTCGATAATCCTGCTCGTTATCTTGTTGATGTTCTTCTTTCTGATATAATGAATTAATTTTTTATTCTAAAAAAAATAAAAACAATCTTTGAACCGCGGACGATACATCTCATGTAGGCACTTAATTAAAAAACTAAAGACAAATACAACATTTCACAAGATATGCTTAATAGATCAGTTAGCCAGTTGTACGTGTTTGCTAGGGTTTGTTAGATTGCCCGTAGTTAATCGGTTCAAATCAAAAAGACTAATAAACTACTTCAAAGACAAATTTATAATTTTATGATTATCAAATCATAACCAACTGAATTGGATTGCTCCAGAGTATACATTTCTTATCAAATATATATATATATCGTGCATCCATAGTGTTATATATATTCCGTATATATTTTAAATTTGAATTACTATAAAACAATTTTTTTTTTCTCTCTATCTGTCATATTCTTTTTTATTTTGTTGCATTTGAATTATATTGCTTATGAATTTGCGGATCTAGATTATGAAGATGTTTGGTAAAATAGCTTATTAGTTAATTTTGATTTGTTTGATCATTATTAATTGTTTGACTTGGTTAAATAGTGTTTGATTAATTAGTTCTTTATAACAATTTATTGCTCCAAAACACTAAACTTCAAAAAGTTGTTCAAGGCAGTTTTTTTCAATTAATTTTTTTAAAAAGTCATTTTGTATGTAATCACCTATATTAGTTAATAGCTAATTTACCAAACATCTTTCCACAATCAGCTAATATTATCAACTAGTCGGACACACTGACCCAATCAACTAACAGTTATTTACCAAACACCCCCTATATGTGTTCAAAAAAAAAAAAACTAAAAGTATAAATTTTTTGAAAGAAATTAAAAGTATAATTAATCTTTAAAACATAAGATAAAAATAATTTGAATGGAAACAAAAGTATATGGGCATGATATTTATTTTCTATTAATATATAGTTAAATTAAATAGGTGCATAATGATAAATAGTGTCATATTATACTAGAATAGCATAATAAATGTTTGTTTGAGACCAAACGTGAAACATGTTATGTTTTCTTCATATTATTATTCCTTTCTTCATATTATTATTAGTTATCCAGTTATGGTATATTAGGTGGCTAGTGTACCCTATCATTTTCGCCAACCTTCCCATGCATGTATTCAATTATTATTCATTAATGTTGTGTTTGCATGAATTGAAGTAAATAATTAGGCTACTTTATTTTATGTTTGTCTATAAGGGGAAGACATTAAAGATCATTTCACTACTTCTTCACGTTACCATCCCGTCAAATATAATTAAAATATAATAATTAGGATTCAAAATTAGGCACATTATATTATTTTTGAGTGCATCTTATAGAGATAGAAAAAATAGATTTGAACCCTAGCTACCCTGGAAAAAGAGTGTACCCAACCACAATACATTTACTTGGGATAAATTAATTTATCATGAGTTGGAATTACTATCGAAAAATTATAATTATTGTAAGTTTTATTAGTCATGCATGTGACTTCTAGTTTAGGTGGTTTATTACTCGTTTTGTACTCTCAACATGATAGTTTTTAGCTTATTTTGACAACATTATATGTTGGAATGACTTGATTATGATATTCAAATGTAGTATGATTTCTTTATTCTTGAATAAGAAAATTAAATTGACATCTTTAGTTCTTAAATTATAATTACTTTGTAAATTTATTCTCTTTGATATTTATAGTAAATTTTAGTCATTCAATTATTATTACAGTGACAAATTTAGTCCAATCCCCATGACTAAATCAATCACTTTATTAAATGTGACAAATTTGATTCTTGAAAAATCAGATCAGTCATTTGATAATAACTAAAGAACTAAATCTGCCCATCCAAATAATTACCTGCACGAACTTAGCTCACTAATTCAGTAGGTAGAGAAAAAAGACCAAGGTTTGAATTTGGATAGCGGCAGTGTGAGATTATGTCTAAAGTTGACAGATTCTTTATGCGCACCGACATTTGATTTTGTCTGCCGAGTCATTGAGTAACTGTGATTTATATCCTCCAAAATATTCTGTCGGGCTAGAGTGTGGGCAGTTGGGGTTGGAAATTCTAGAGGAATAAACAAATAATCTCCCCATTTTGATGTTTTAGGTGATAAATCAATGATCACAAAGAGATACATGCACTTAACCGAGGAAATATTGAAGGAAAACCCAAGCTTTTGTGAATACATGGCGCCTTCTTTGGATGCCAGGCAAGACATTGTGGTGGTGGAAGTCCCCAAACTTGGGAAAGAAGCCGCCCAGAGCGCCATCAAGGAGTGGGGCCAACCAAAGTCCAAGATCACCCACGTCATCTTCTGCACCACCAGCGGCGTCGACATGCCCGGCGCCGACTACCAGCTCACCAAGCTCCTCGGCCTCCGCCCCTCCGTCAAGCGCCTCATGATGTACCAGCAAGGCTGCTTCGCCGGCGGCACCGTCCTCCGCGTCGCCAAGGATCTCGCCGAGAACAACAAAGCCGCCCGCGTCCTCGTCGTCTGCTCCGAGATCACCGTCGTCACTTTCCGCGGCCCCAACGAGACCCACCTCGACAGCCTCGTCGGCCAGGCGCTGTTCGGCGACGGAGCCGCCGCGATCATCGTCGGCTCCGACCCCACCCCCGCGGAAAAGCCGCTGTTCCAGCTCGTCTCCGCCGCGCAGACGCTCGCCCCCGACAGCTGCGGCGCCATCGACGGCCACCTCCGGGAAGTGGGCCTCACGTTCCATTTACTCAAGGACGTCCCCTCCATTGTCTCGAACAACATCGAGAAATGCTTGTCGGAGGCGTTTAATCCTCTGGGCATTTCCGACTGGAACTCCATTTTCTGGATCGCCCATCCCGGAGGGCCGGCGATTCTGGACCAAGTGGAGGACAAGTTGGGGCTAAAACCTGAAAAACTCCGAGCGACACGACACGTGTTGAGCGAGTACGGGAACATGTCCAGCGCGTGTGTTTTGTTCATTCTGGATGAGATGCGGAAAGCCTCGTCCAATGATGGGCTTGGCACCACCGGCGAAGGGCTCGAGTGGGGTGTGCTGTTTGGGTTTGGGCCCGGGCTTACAATCGAGACCGTTGTCCTCCATAGCGTCCCAGCTTAAGTCCGGCCCAAATATTATCTGTTTTCTACCATTTATCGTTTGTTATATTCTTATGAAGTTTGGAATTTGTATTAATATTGGTTTATATTTTATAAACCACTATGTTTGGTATGTGTCAATATGTATTTCTATTCAAAGTCATGAACAACTTTTTTTTTTCTTTTTCTATGTACACTTCATTGGTATATGTATCTCACAAGATAAGACTAATATAATTAAGTGTTAGTCGAACCTCAGATACAATTCTCTTTTGAGCCGATCTGTTATTGGCAACTTAGGTTGATTTACTTCCTTATGGTCATTTGTAGACTATGATCACAAGACATGCTTCACCCAGATCGCAGCATCGAATATCGACTGTGAATTTTCCACAAATTAAAGATAGAAATCAAATTGCACGCACGAACATCTCAATTGGTTTCTGCGTGGTAGATTGTAGGGAAGGACATAAGATTGAGCCATGGCAGTCAAAATGTGAGAGTAACATCTAATGTGATGATCTCCTTGTGGTACAAGGCACTGGTCCTCCCACCTAATGGGTCATTGAGTTACCGTGAATTACCTATCGACTATCCTATTAGGTACGGGGTATGGGGCCCTAGGGCAAGGGAATTTAGCATTTGTGGGCAAAGATAGAAACCAAATTCCAAAAAAAGAAAAAAAAATAATTACTGCCTTGGAAGTTGTTCGGTGGAGCTGATGCCCTAACACCTTACTATCCTCCGCCACGACTGCTGTTCAGTTGGTCGCGGAGGTCACACGAATTGTCTGTTGTTCTTGTCGTGACATTGTTTCAATGGGTCCACATTGGGGTAGCCATGGGAGTTACCTAATCTCGATCATGTCATTGTTCAAATTCGTTGAGGAAAATGAGGATTGTAGTAGATAGCTAGCTTGAGAGTTGATCTTAGACACTCAATGAAAGTATAAATAACGGTATTATTGTAACATGGGTAAACTAATGAACAAGAGTACATCTAAAAACTTGGTGTTTTGACACTTGCGCTAAGTACTTGGACACTTAATTCTTTCCCCGTCCATCCAGTTATATTGGCTAGTAGCAAATTGGATGAAAGTTTCAAGATCAGCCAAAAACTCCTTTGTGAGAAAACCATTTCTAATTCGTGTATACATCCAATGACAATTTGAACTCATTGTATTTATCACCTATTTCAAAATATTTTTCAATGCTACATTTCATTTTTTTATATAAAAAAAAACTACATTTTACCTAAACAAAAATCATTCAAACAAATTCACATAGAGATTCAAATAAACAATCATATTCTCATAAGCCTCCGGTACCCACATGCGGCTTAACCAGAGAAAACACAAGTGTCGATACCCACAGGCGGTTTAGTCGAAGAAAACACAAGTGCCGGTACCCACATGCGATTTAGCCGGCAAATAAACAACATATGAAAATGTTGTAAGTTCAAACCTTATCAACCTAAGAAGAACTTGAAGATTCTTGTAAGTTCAAATTTATCATCTACAATACTTAGTAGTCAACGCGTTTACAATATTTGACAAAAATAAACAAAAATCCCTAATATTCAAATATTTGAGAAATTTTATGACTACACATTTACAATATTTGTATTATAATTTAGTGAAAATTTTAAATATTAATCATTTTTGTAAGGTAATAGAACATTGTTAATCATTTATAATGTGATTGTATGCAGATTCCTAATCTGTGGGCAAACAAATTATAGTAAAAGTAAAAATTAAAAGAATACTCAACTTTATTATTATTATTATTAAATTAGCATTCTACAAAATTTATATTTTCATTTATTTCTCATATTATCCTCATAAACTCATTGCAAGTTCAAATCTTATCAGTACTACTATTAAGATGCAATGTTATCATTACGGCAGTCGGAGAAGAGGCAGTGGCAGTCCGAGGAGAGACAACTTTTCAATGTAATATGTTTTGCCACATTAGCGACGGATTCCAAAATCTGTAGCTATGTTTTATTAAAAAAAAATTCGGCTTCCATATTTAAGTAATCCCGCTTTTAATATTGCGATGGATTTGAAAATTGGTCATTACATATTGACGGATCCTTAAATTCGTTGCTAAAATGTAAAAACAAATAAAGCCCGTATTCTAAATCTAGCAACGGATATGCGAATTTTTTGCTATTTAGCGACAGATTCTCAAATCCGTCGCCACAGTGTAAACACCAACAAATGCCGCGTTCTAAATCTAGCGACGAATTTCAGGATCTGTCGCTACAGTGTAAACACAATAAATCCCGAATAAAAAATATAGCGATGGATTTGAAGATTTGACGCTATATAGCGGATGCGCCGCTACAATATTAACAAAAACAAATCCTGCGTTAAAATTGTAGCGACGGATTTATATACTCGTCGCTAATCTGTAGCAATTAAAATTATGGAATTAGGCCCGTGAAAAAATTCGTCGCAAATTTGTCTCTAATTTTTGTTCGAAAATTTATCGATAATATTAGCTACGTATTTAACGACAAAAAATTTTTGTTGCAATATTTGTTGCTAATCCGTCACCAAAGGTCTATTTAACAAAAAGATTAAAATCTGTCACTAAGTTGTCGCTATTTCGTCGCTATATTAGCAACAGAATGTGTCCGTCACTAAATTTGTCGCTATTTCTACATTTTTTTTTATAGTGAGTGATCATATTGGTTGGTACGTTCAAATGGGATGTCATGGGTTCGAGCCCTAATGGGGGCCATATTGACTCTTTGTGCTTCAGTAGATTAAAAAAATAATTATAAACAAATACTACATTGTAACTGAATCAGTAGTACTAAAAAAATGATTGGTAAGTTCAGTACAAGTTTTGAGCATGCCACTTGTTTGTTACAATAGCAAAGTATTTTTACTAAGAAATACTCCTAATACCTACAAACTAAACGACACCATCCTTCCATATAATAAAGTCATAACTTTTTGACAAATCAGATTTGTGAGTTTTCTCGCCTAAGCAATTTAGATTTAGTTTTGATATTTTTTACCTTTTATTTAGGGATGAAGTTTCGGCTCTTGCGATTTAGTTTAGATTTAATTTAATGTGGCAGAAGTTAAACAATTTGAGTGAGATTGTAATCATTACTAATTTTTTGATTTTTTTTTTTTTTTTTTGTGATTGGTTGAAAGTAATTATTATATTTATTTATTAATCATTCACATTAATTAGAAGTCTAATCCTATTTGGTCTTTTTTTATTTATTTTTTATTGCTATATTTAATCTCATTGTTGTTTTAGTTTTGATCTGTATTAAATGCTGTTCTTGAAAAACGATTGATATTACTTATTCTCGGTTCTCCACAGGGCGTGCTCATTGTTTGTTGTGCATCCATAGCAATTTTTAGTTATATATAGACATACATTTACAAGATCACATTCACACTCTCCCTTACTACACATCTCTATTCACGGTCCTTCCCGTTTAGAATGTCTGGGCAATTTGTGTTTGCCTCTCAAATGAACCCAGGATTCAGAATGAAAGTAAATTGCTCTTGGGTTAGTGCTGACATCTGTTTTACCTGAAAGTTTTACCTAAAAGTGAAAAGGCAAAGGGTGTCAACGGTATAGCATGTTTATTTCATAATGCAACAAAGCTTACATTATAGCATGTTTATTTCATAATGCAACAAAGCTTTCGTTCAACCATTCTCTAAGGAATTTGCTTGTTTTGAAGAGAGCTATTTTTATTTATTGCAATCTTTAATAAGAGAATATCAATATGTTCTGTTTAGTTTATTATAGTTTGTGATATATGAGTAAGTATTTTTTGATTTCAAATTTCTCAACTTTTCCTCTGACCTTACCTATATAAGGGGAGTTAAATCTGTATTTAGGCTTTTGACGGGCATATTTTACACTCTTATTTTATATACGTCTTTATAATATTTTTGCATTAATTAAGTACTTTTATATCATTATTATTTATTCTTAGAGTTTAATTAATTAATTAGTGTTTTATAATAACAATTATCCTTCTCTCCCTAATAATAATAATAATAATAATAATAATAATAATAATAATAATCCTAACTCTAACTCTAACGTGGTGGCCCAACCTGCTAACTAAACAAAACAAATGAAATATTATACTTGTTTGATTCCTACGTACAGCGCAACAAGGGAAATAGGACCTCATCAAAACTTCAGCGCAAATTTCGACGACTCAAGTGGCATTCATGGATGATTTCATCGCTTGGCGCAAAATGAGGAAATGTGCGGTGGAGGTGCATCTAAGTCTATTTTTAGAAATAGTATAAATAGGGTAGGTTTCCTATTGTAAAATGTTCATTCTTCCCCTCTCGAATATTCTTTAAGGTTGTTATCCATGCCCATTCGCGGCTAATTTCTTGTTTGGTTTAGTGAATTGAAGCCCAGGAGTTCATAACGCTGTAAGGTTATTTATTTAACTTTATTATATATATGTTTTTATGCATTTTGAGTATTAAATATTCTTCTAAATTATTTGAATAGTTGTATCATTTAATTGCTAGGGAGGCCTACTAGTTATTTACTTGATATAATTATTTGCTATATTAGATAATGTTGTGCTACAAATTATTCTAATATTCAGTAGCAACTGGGTTAATTATTGACGGCTTAGTGATAATTGGACTCGGGAAGAATATTTTCCTAAATTAAATGCAACCGCTTGTGCTTGTGTTATTTAGTTTGTCGGTTTTCCTAGTTCCTATTGCTGCTATTAAATTAAATCTATAGCGCTTGTCTTAGGTTATTTAGTAGTTAGGGGTAATTAAACCGCTTGTGCTTTATTTACCTACAACTAAGGGAAAACAGAAATGAAATAATTTCACGACAAATATTCAATTGCATATTAATTACTTTATTAATCAATGATCAGTGTTGAATTCCGGTGGCGGATCTTTACTAACCAAGGTTTCTTATTATAAGTGTTTTTGATATATTATTTTCATTGCTTTATTCGTTCAGTTAAATTACTTGTTTATTTAAATTCTCTTTTAATTTATCTTTATTCTCGATATATTCCAAACCCCCCATTATTTCCTTGAGCACAAAAGTTAAACTAGTTACTCCTCGTGGGATCGATCCTTACTCCCGCTACAACGTTTGTAAGGTTTTAATTTGGGAGCCTACGACAGCTCACCAAATTTTGGCGCCGTTGCCGGGGAGATTTTCTAGCTTATTTTGTGTTTGTTTATTTATTTAATTATTTATTTTGTTATTTGTT